GGTTGCTGTGAGCTGTGATGCCCCAGCACTCTGCCCAGGGGGACAGCTTGAGGCTCCTGTCTCAAAAAAAAAAAAAAGAACAAACAGGTAGAAGAGAGAGGAGGGAGAGGGTGGAATAATAATTGAAAGAGGAGAGCTCCTGAGAAGACTGAGTTGTTAGATGGGATAGAAAGTTCAGGTTAGGGTAAGAGCCATAGGTATTTCCCTGGTAAAGGAAGTAAATAGAGGGAATAAGGAGGGACACACAGGGTGGAGGATCCACGATTGATAGTATTATTATGTGAAGTATGTTGTAAAGGCAAAGGCCAAGAATTAGTATGTGAGAAATAAGCTTAGCCTTGAAAAGTGTGGTATTGTTTGGGAATGAAAATGCTGAGACATGCAATAATAGTTGCCAGAATAGGATGGCCATGTGACAGTTGAGAGTCTGCAATAAAAGAAAAAAATGCATATTCCCAAACGTTTATATATATACATCTACTGCTTAATAATCAAACTTAAATATTTTCTACCCCTTGTAGCACAACTAAAAAACGTCAAGGAATACAGAATCCAAATTTTACTGCACCTGGTCAAGAATTTCTGTCTAAATCTCATTTTTATGAACACCTGACTTCAGAAAACTCATCAAGCAATTTATCAGTTTTGGGGCAGCCATTTTATAAAGTTCCTGCTACAAGAAGTAAAGAAATGAGACACTCAATTTCTACGGGCAAATCAACCAAAATCTTTGTCCCACCTTTTAAAACTAAATCACATTTTCACAGAGATAAACAGTGTGCTAGCAATACTGTTGTGGAAGAAAATAAACAAAAACAAAACACAGATGAACATGACTCTGGTGATAGTGAAAATAATAACAGTGAGATTCACCAACTTAATAAAAACAACTCTAATCAGGCATGTGAAGAAGAACCTTTAGGTATTGTATGACAATTTGTGTGACATATTTTTGCTTTTCAGTTAAATATTTCTCTTATTAAATAATGTGCTGAGGGCTTTCCTCCTTTTATGGTACTTACTATAGTAGAACTTCCATAGCGGACCTCATCCCTACATCGACCACCTCCTTAAGTTTACATATTTTCATAGACTGGACATGTACCACATGTATATATCAGTACAGTAGGCCTAGTTCTTTATGTTGACCAGTTTGTTATGGTCCCTTGAGTGGTCAGCTTATAGAGGTTCTATTATAATTTTTGAACCTTTTCTAATGCTTTAAATTTTCTAAATCCAAAGATTATATTATTCTAACATTTTTTTTCTTTCAAAGATGACTGTTTGTGGACTTTCTTGTTTTGAGAAAAGTTGTTACCAGGATATATTTTTTAGCATCCTACTAATTTTCATCAAAAATTGAAATAATTTATATACATATTTTAATTTGAATGCAATTCTACTATCCATAGACCATATTCAAATTTTATCAGTTGATGCAATAATCTAGTTTTTTGGGTTTTTTTGAGACAGTCTCACTTTGTTGCCCTGAGTAGACTGCCATGGCATCATAGCTCATAGCAACCTCAAACTCTTGGGCGCAAACAATCCTCTTGCTTTAGCCTCCAAGTAGCTGGGACTACAAGTACTCACCATAGTACCCAACTGTTTTTATTTTTATTTTATTTTCTTAAATTATTTTTTATTAAATCATAACTTGGTACATTGATGCATGTATGGGGTTCAGTGTACTGCTTTGATACACAATGTGAAATGCTTACATTGAAGTAACATATCCATCACAATTATACTCATTTCTTAATAGTTTTGAAATGTACTATGGCATCATGCACATTAGGTGGAGGTCCCCCCAAATGCCCTTCCTCCTCCCAAACCCCTCTCCCTTATCCTCTCTGTCCTCTTCCCTACTACTTTCTGGACTATAGTTCTGTTTTACCATTCATGTGCATGTGTAGGTGATTATATATTGATTTCATAGTGTATTGAGTACGTTGGTCAGATTGGTCTCAAACTCTTGAGCTCAGGCAATACACCTGCCTCTTCCTCCCAGAGTGCTAGGATTATAGCCATTGCCTCAATAATCTAGTTTTTAGGCTCGGCGCCTATAGCTCAACCGGCTAAGGCACCAGCCACGTACAGCTAAGGTGGC